TTTTTTTTTTTTTTTTTTTTTTTTTTTTTAATGGTATATTTCGGTTCTATTGCCGCGTGGAATTGGAAATTACCGCCGCAGCTTTTTTAATCTCCAGGACCAGCAGAAGGTTGCCACTACTGAGCTTCTCAACTCCCTCAAGATTCTGCAACTCCGACCATTCCAAGTCCCATCGCCGGCTTTTGCCTCAGAGCTCCATTCTACTAAGTTTTCAGGCGGAGCCGAGCTCTCGTTAACTGTGTTCAGACGGTTCGCGCCTTCTTATCATGTGCGCTTGCCCATGGCTAACATGAGGACCGACTCTCCCGTCGCTTGTCGCATCGTTCGTGCCTTTCTTGACTTTCTGAACTCTGGTCTCTGCTTTTCTCCCTTTTCACGATCGTTTATGTTCCTGTAATGTTGTAGTTGAGCAGTTTTCGGCGCTCTTCAGTAGGTTTTTCTTCTGCTAATGATTAGCGCGATTGCGGAGTAGGTTTTTTATGATAGATTTTCGATGCTGAATTATTGGAATGTTTCGTGTCGAATTTGTGTACATTAGGCAATTTTAGTGGAGTGAAGCGATGTGTTGTATTAAGTGATGTTCGTTACTATTTTGATGTTTGTTTTAGGGTTTCCATTAATCAATTCGAATTCGTTATCTTATGATATTTGTTTTGTGCGCAGTGGAGCCAGGTCCAGGTGTTGATGTTGAGGGCATTGAGGTAGCAAAACAATGTTTAGAACAAGTGTTTAAAGTTCAGTCTCCTGCTGCCGAAGAGTTAGCGGAGTTCAATTCGCTAGTAGACATTTTTAGTTCACCGGGATCTTTTCAGCGTTCTGGAACTAATTCATCTGTTGATAATGGAACCGTTCCGATGGAACATTGCAGTTCTCTCAATGTGAATGATTCTGGCGCCAATTTGTCAAAGTCATCAAGACCTCAGGTCAGCTTTCCTTGCGGTTTTCTGTTCATGAAAATTTCAGCAATATGAAGTCATTAATTCTCTGTGCTAATTTCCAAGTCTTCATATACGCTTTAACTTCCATGCCATTTGTGTCGATAAAAATAATTGTGAAGTTTATCATCGTTAGGTCAGCATTGAAATATGTCACATTGGTATTTCAATCTGTAAACATGGTCAAATGTGTAGCCAGAAGGAGATTATCTGCAGTGTGTTTTTCATTTCAACATTTTGAACCAAAAGTAGAACTGAAACTTACATCCCCGGAATTTCAAAATACTGTTCATTAAGGCCTGATTGTTTCCCAATCAAGATGTAGCCAGTTGGTAGTTGCATACCCCGATTGATCTTATGAAGTAATTTTCATTTTCTTTTTTCTTTTTCTTGGAAAAGGTTCTCTGTTTAGTCTACTTTTAGAAAATAAGAAATGATGTTGCTAAGTAATGTTGTTCGGCACTTCAAAGCATCCAAATTATATAACTTTATGTACACTCATAAATGTTTTTATTAGTGTTCGTGTTTGTTTGAAAATGTTTTGAATTCAATCAATTATAACTTATCTGATTGTCTTATTTGATTGTTGAGTTTTGATTTTCTCTCTCTCAATTAATCCAAGGGGATGATTGTTCAAGAGAATCTCATCCCTTGGGTAGGTTTTCTCCTCTTTTCTTTTTCTTTTCCTTGTATACCTTTGTCTTTGATATATATATACACATATTATATGTAATTTTAGCTGTATTCATAGAAAATAGAAACTACACATCAGCATCCCACTCTTATTACCTCTTGTTCTTTAAGATTCCCTCTTAGGTTTCAAGGTTTGTAGAAAAGTTGTGAACCTTAGCTGAAGTACATTAAAGAAGTAGAAGGATCATGCTTGGTGAATTTGGAATTTTGAAGCATTGTATCTCAGTCTAGATTTATATGCATCATTTGTGTTTGGTATGTGGAAAAAAAAGGGAATTTGACTTAGATCTAGAACTGGCTTTGCAATTACACATGGAAAGTAGGTCTTTTTCATGGTCTAATTACTAAATTTTTATGCTCAATGTGAAAATTGGAGCACTGCAAAATGTAGTAATTGTAGCTGTTGGAGATTTCGTCTGAAAATTTTGTTTCACCTCTCTATTTAGCTAATTGTAACGCAGGGAACAATAGTGGTAGAAAAGATGGTGACAAAATTGCACTTAGAAGTACAAGTTGTCACTTGTTTGGTCACCATCTATAAGATTAACTGCAATGACCACTGGACCAGGTTCAAACTAAATCAAAACTGCAAGTTTACATGAAAAGCAAAAAAAAAAAAAAAAAAACTATGCTCAAGTTGCTAACTTGCGACTAATTGGTGGCGATTGCAATGATATATGACAATTTTTCTTGGAATTGTTGAAGGAAAGAAACAAGCGTTTTTTAAAAAAAAAAAAAAAAAAAAAAAAAAAAGAAAAAACAAGAAACAAAAGCTTCTTCAAAGATAATTTTTAATTTGGAGTTGCTAAAATCTTTTGTCGTCTTCGGATTTCCATCATAATTTCCCATTCCATTTATTTACACTTTTTTTTGTTTATCCTATATTTTATTACCTCCTTATTTGATATAAAGGTTTGCTTTCTTTGAGCTTTGGAGGAGCTAAGGCATCATTTGATAATAATCTTGTTTTAAGTTTTTTGTTTTAAAAAATTAGATTTATTTCCTCTCAATTTTTTTAGTTTTTTTCTTTTACCATTTCACAAATATATTTGAATTATTAACCAAATTTAAAAAACGATAACTGGTTTTTAAAGGCTACTTATCTTTTTGTCTTTAAATTTTGACTTCTTTTTTGTGACGCCTCATGCCCAAGATTCATATCAGGATTTGGAATCCAGATTTGGCACTTGATGGCCTCGACATTTTCCTACATCCCTTATGATATGACCATATCACATACTTGTCTTGAATTACTTTTAAAAGTGGAGACTATCCCCACAAACTAACATAGATTTTTTCAGCATCTTTTATCTTTACTCAAATGTTTTTTAGGAAAATTTCTAAGATGTAACTCAACATAGAATAGTTCCAAGCTAAGTGCGCTTGAATTTGGAGTTTCTATGATTAAGCAATTGAAAAGGAAGGTGCACTTTGTTGGTATAGGTAGTGACTTTCAATTCTTTTAAGCCTTTTTTAACCATCATATTCTTAGGATCACTTTCATTCGGACGTAATCTCGGTTCATTAATGTACTCCGGTTCATTAATGTACTCCTTTACTCGTGTGTCACATGCCCACTAGCTTTCATATTAGTTCGTTTATGAACTATATCCTATTGGAAGTGGCCTCACTCTGATACCGTATATAACACCTCATGTCTAAGATTTAGATCAGAGTTTGGAATCCAGATTTTACACTTGATGGTCCTAGTATTTCTATGTAGCCCCCATAAGATAATTCTAAGAGGGAAGACTGCCCCCACATATAATTGCTCCAAGTTAAGCATGCTTAGTTTTGAAAGTTTCTATGATTGAGTTCACGAAAAAAAAGATGTGCCTTGTTGGTATAGGTAGTGATTTTCAATTCTTTTAATTATTTCTTATCTATCATATCCTTAGAATCACTCTCATTTGGATTTGGTCTCGATTTATTCATGTACCCTTCATTTACTCAGGTGTGTCACACTTTTAAAAAGTAGATAACAACTCAAAGAAATGCATGAATGGAAATAGCATTTATAATTTAAATTTTCAAAAGCATAAAATAAAAAACAAAATAGCTGTGAAAGGAGGCCTAAATAATTGTGATTTTGTTGCAGGAAGAGGAAGTTGTTTTATTTCCTCTTATCATAATGATGATTTTCTTTGTAATAGGGCCCATGAATTGTTAGTGATTAACCTTTGTTTTTCTCTCACGTAATTTTACTATGAGATTCATGGGTCAAGCTCTTGTATCAATTTAATTTTTATTTAAAATTCCAAAGAAAGCATTATCCTTTGTTTCATGGAGACAGTATTGCAAGAGCTGCTAGTAGGAGGAAGAATTATTTTTAAATGTTCACTTTCAGAACTTTGTTGGATTAATTGGGTTGAAAGAATCGAGTCTCCTTGAAGAAAAGGAGGGTTGGCTTGACACCCTGTATTCTAGAGGATTGGTCTTTCTAAAGTTTTTTTTTCTTCGATTGTCAGTCCTTTCTTTTTCTTCTTTGAAAGAGGGATTCCTTTTCCTTTTCTAATAGGAATTTTGAAAAGGGATTTTTGATGCTCTTCTTTTTGTATGTTCCTCTTTTTTTTTTAAAAGGATATTATAAAAATATTTTTCTGTAAAAGAATTGTATAGGATTGTATATGTTGAATCAATTAAATTGGTGGTTTGGATTCTTTTTTTTTTTTTTCATTTTTTCTGCGTTGGTCAACATTTTTGCAGGAGTATTGCAAGATGAACTTTTTGGGCAATTTGTTCTTGCACTTGAAAAACTTCGATATTTTAGGACCTCAGCAGATGGGAGGGATGATCCTGACCAACTCGAGCGAGCAACTCGTTTGTTTCATGATGCTCTTGGAGTATGATTTTTTTGTTCTTTTGTTGCTTCAGATGAATTTTTATCTCTGTGTGTACCTTATCTCAGCATCTGTTGTTAGATATTCTTAATGCAGTTAGTAACTTATCTGCTACTGGCTCATTGCCTCGTAGAACGGTCTCTTACTTTTGAAGAGTACCCTTCCCTTTCTCTTCCCTTGCTTCCTTGGATAATCCTTTACCAAATTTCTCATTGCTTCAGGAAATGGAAAGATCTGGATGCGCCGAAATTAATCACAAAAACCTGGCTGAGTCCTTGAAGTCCCTTGGTATCAGAACTCCTAAGAAATAATTTTTAGCCTGTTCTATTTTATCGTATGGTTTCCTGTCCTTCCGCACATTCTTTAATATGGTAAAGGTTATAATTGGTTACCTTCACACAAATGTATCGTTTAGATACTTCGCTTTTTATTATTTAGACGTACTCTTCATGCTTACATTTATCCTTTATTTGATAAAATAAGACATTATTTTTGCAGTCTAATTGATATTCCAATCTCTCTTTTTATAGGCCCAGCTCACTGAAAGGTTCTAATATGGAAAAATATGTTCTGTTTTAGGTAACAGGGCTATGCAGTCAAAACTATTCTCCGACGCAATTGAGTTGTATAGTTGTGCAATCGCACTATGTGAAAATAATGCCATTTACTACTGTAACAGGTAGAATGCTGTAATATCATAAAGAGCATTAATACGAATTGCAATAAAGTATCTAATCGTGCTAGTTAAGGAATTTCTTTTCCTTCTATATGTATGAGATAAGAACTGATTCACTCATACATTCACTTTTCTGAGTTATGCAGATTAGTTTACCACCCTTGTAAACTGAATGCTGTGAAAAAAAAAAAAAAAAAATGCTATCCCATTAGTCATACGAGAAACTTAACATTTGTCAAATTTTCGTAAACATGATTGAGATTCCTGGACATACTTAGGCTTCTCTTACCGCTTATACTTTCAATACTCCATATTATCCAAATATTTTGACATTAAATATTGTCGAATCACAAATACACAGACAAAAATATTGTATGGACGTAAAAATGTATCTGCTCACAACCATTATCTTTATAGTTTCACTTTGTCCTGGTTTACTTGGCTTTTTTTGTCAATTTTAATTTCATTGAAATGTATGGAAGACAGATTCATTGTTGTTATTTTACTCATCCAATTTTGCTTTGATGAATTTTTTTTTTCAATGTCAAAAAAATTAGAACTCCTCAGGGCAGCTGCTTACACTCAAATCCAAAAATACTCTGAAGCAACAAGAGACTCTTTGAAATCCATTGAAATTGACCCAAATTATAGCAAGGCATATAGTCGTCTGGGCTTGGCTTTATATGACCAGGGGAGCTATCGTGATGCTATTGATAAAGGATTTATGAAAGGTTGGTGAGACTTCGAACATTAGAACCCTTGCAGTGCTTTAGGCTAATTAAACTTATGTTCAATTATGAAAGTTTTTGTAGAGAACTATATGTATTTGGAACTGATTAGGTCTTCTTTTTTGCACATACCATGTTTTTTATTACCCATATCGAATGCATTTTAAAATGTCAGCTTTATTGTGCAGCCTTGCAGTTGGATCCAAACAATGAAGCTGTCAGGGAAAATATTCGAGTTAATAGACTGACTTTTATTCTTTCATATTTTTCAATACTGAAAGCTCGGTTTCTTTAAATTAAACAATGCATTGACTTTCACCACCACAACTGGTTTTTCTTTTACTGTAACACTATTATTATTTGAAAATGTTTTATTTCAACTCATCATAGGTAGCTGAACAGAAGTTAAAGGAAGCACAGCGACAAACTCACCATGAGCAGGTACAACGTGCTTTATTTTCTCATGAAACAAACGATCCCTTCACAAAGGATTGTTGGTTCTCAAACTTGTAATAGAAGTTAGTAAGTTCAAGGAAGCCATTGATTGCTCCTCCTATGAGTCGTGGTACAAATATTTGGATTTTGAAGTGCGAATAGGCCACTTCCTTCGGATGGTATAATTTAAGCATTGTAACCACCTAATATAATTGACGGCTCTAGAATGAAAATGATCTCGATCTCTTCCAAATTCAAGATAAAAAAAAAATGTTGCCATGTTTTTGTCTATGTCAACTCCTATTCATTGTGTTGCTCTCTCCTCAGAATCCTACTACTTTACTAGTTCTCACTTAATAATCAACACTATCTAGTGGTCATGGGTCAGAATTCTTAAAGCCCAGAGTAAGTTGTTTTTCCGTAATGATCAAGTATGTAATATCTTTCTGTGGCCATATAAGACTGCTGGAAAATTTACTTCATTAATGTGATGTGAATGAAATGGCTTCAGGAGCCAAAAGTGCCATTGTTCAGCCACTTGAACTTAGTAGAAATGTTGCAAATGCGATCCAATTTGAATATGTAATGAGCAGTAGCCTGCTAATTTTTGCTATGGTTTTGTTTGCTCATCCTTCTGCTAACTCCACTACAATTTATCTTCCATGGATTTAATTCTATGCAGGGTTCATCCAGTCGAAGTCAAGAATCCCAATACCAGCAGTCTAGTGGAGCGTCAAGGAATGACAGCCCTTCACCTCCCTTCCCTTCTATGCCCTTTAATGGCACTTTACCTTCCGAAATCTCAAACATATTCATGAACATGGCTGCTAACCATGGGCAACATACCGGAGTCGGGGGAGAAGAGAACAGAAGCGGAAATGGATCAGCAGATGATCCAAGAACAAATATGGATGCAAATTTCAGTTTCAGCGTTGGAGATGGAATGCCACAGGATCTCAATGGTGCTTTGAGATCTATGATGCAGATGTTCACCGGTGCAGCCCCCGGTGGAAACCCTCAGGATAACATCAATAGAAGACCCCCACAAGGCTGAAACCTTCAGGTCGGTATGTTGTTGCGCCGGGTCCCCTCTATTTGACTTTTTTCTTTTTTATTCAGTTGACTTCGATTTCCTTTATATCTTATAGGCATGAATCTTTGAATTAAAAAACTAGGGGGCCTTGAACAGATTCACCCTTCAAATAAATATGCTAGTTCTCGTCTTTTTTAAAGAAAAAAAAGCTAGTGAATGGTTGTTCTCAGGTACGGTCAATGGCCGAAAAATGAACAATTTATTCCGTTTTCTGTTATTTTTGTCATTTTCGATCTTAGAAGTGAATTCGATCTTTTTGTCCAAGTCAATTCCTTAACTCGGCCTCTGTCTCAATTATTCTTTTTATATGCAAGTCTGACCTAATCGATATGGGCTAGATCGATGCAAGCCGAGTATGATATAACATTTTCATTTTATTATTTCAAAGCACAGATGTTTAGCCAAATTCGAGGGTCAATTGCCATGTGTTCTGCTTATGATCGAAACACTAGCCGAGGCAAAGGGACCATTGTCAAGGTGACCTTTCAAATCTAATCTGATTACATGATTATCTTTTATTTAAGCTTAGGGATTAAGGAACTCTAGAAGGCTCGTACATGAAAATTAAATGAAAATTATACCCAAAGTTTTAGGACTAAAAAAGAATGAAGTTCTAACAGCCTAAGTGTTTTCTTGGATCAGTAATGCCGGTGCATTATTAAATCCAAATCAATCAGCCTTTTAAATAGGTACTGTGTCTATTTCAAAAGTAAATAAATGAATACATACTTGTTTGTTCTCTTCTATTGTTGAAACATGCAGTAACTTAAAACAAAGGCAATAATGCAAGTTAATTTGTGTAGTTTATATAGGAATACATCTAAAGTATGTCTTAATTCTTAATTGATATGGTTGAAATAGTTGACATCCGTTGCAGTATGGTCAAATGAAGCTATAGTGTAGTAATCTTTATTTCGAGCCCAATTTTGCTCACATGTTCTATTTTGGCATTGTCTTCCTCTTCTCTAATTTCTTCAAAGAAAAAACTGCTTATACCACTTACCCTGGACCAAATTATTATTCCAAATAGATAGAGTTCATCTCATTGACACTAGTATGGTGCTTGCTACAAAAAGAAGGTCTATGTTGAGGATTATTAGGAGTGAGTCCCACGTTGGTTAATTTAGTGGAAGATCATGGGTTTATAAGTGAGAAATACTATCTCCGCTGGTATGAGGTTTTTTTGAGAAACCCAAACAAAGTCATGAGAGTTTATGCTCAAAGTGGACAATATCATACCATTGTGAAGAGTCGTGATTCCTAACGGTCAAAATACTCTAATGCTTATGTTATAAAAGCATAATAATCTTTAAATTAGAATGCGGTCTAAGTTATGAGTTGACCTAAGGTTTCCTAAAGAAAGAAAATTCGTTCTATCTATCTTAATTTAATTTTTATGGTCCAAAATCACTCGAGAATAACGAATAAGTCACAATAAAACAAATGATGTATTAATTTGATTTGATTTTTAAACCAACCATTCCAACGCAACTTCTACTTTTTTTTTTAGATTATCGATGAAAATTAATATGCCCATGGAATCATAATTAAACACTTTCACATCATGTGGATTCGAAATTAATAACCCAAATCTCAAACTTTATATTATTTTGTAAATCCTTATAATTAATTATTTAATATATATATATATACTATATTCAAACTTTTTCTGATAAATTTGTTTTTTTAAATATAAAATACTAGTTTTTAACGGTTGGATTGCTGACATTGTTTTTAATCCTTGCTACAATAATATAATATTTTAATTCTTATATTTAAAAAAAAAAGATTAATTCTTACGCTATTGACAAAAACTCTTCCAGAATAATATTAAATTAAAAAAAGAAAAAAGAAAAAAAAAAGGCGGAAAAAGTCGGATAACTGCCATGAACGGCCAGGATTGAAATCAGAAATCTGGAATGTATCCCACTTCACAGTCCGTATCCCATTTTCCTACGGTCAGAGTCGCCCAGTTCCATACCCCAACGTCGATCCGTATGGTAAAGCCCTTAGTCTCAGCCTGCTTTCTCCATCATTCCTTCATTCATTGCTGCGCTCTGGAAAATCATAGAAAAGTCGCTTAAGCTGCAGCTGATTCGCTTTCGTAGGCTGAAAGTTCAATCTCTTTCTGCATTGGCGCCTCCGCCTGATTCCGTTTCCACTCCTAAATTGTTCCGCTTCCTTCCTCCAAACTCGGATGTTACTGTTTCGAGCTGCTTTTTACGACGCATCTGTTTCTCGGTCTTGATCTTTCGTGTTGGTCAATGTTGTACCTCTGAATTTGTCTCTTGTTTCTCTGTTGTTGGTTGTATCGACGGCGAGAGAAGAAGCTGAAGGTATGAATGCTTGATTCGTTTGCTTTTGGAAAGATTTGTTGTCGATTGTTGCGGTACGAACTGTGTTGTTTTGGTGTTTTACTTTATTGCTGTGCTTTGATTTTCCTTGCGTTTATGTGAGGGAATTTTGTTTTTGGCTTTTGTCGTCGCTTGTGTTTTTACTCTTGTGAGACGTGCCTGCTGGTGCTTGGATGGAATCTGGGAAAGTGTATTCGTCGAAGCTTTCTTAAAAGGAGAACTTTCAGACTTTCAGACTATGTCGGTTTAGTCATTTTGTTTATTTTCATTGTTATTAATCAGCAGCGACAGATCGAGTCTTCATATAGGTTCATTCGTTGTTTGCGATTAACTGATACTCTCTAAAAGATATTGCTGAATTTAGCTTATTTTTTCATCTTTTAGTTACACTCGGTGCCTGAAGTCTGTAAGAAATGAGCGCATATATCGTTGGTGTTCTGGTACCCATTGTAGCTACATTTTTCTTCCGGAATTCAAAAAAATCAAAGAAAAGAGGCTTGCCTGTCGATGCTGGTGGGGATCCTGGGTTTGCTGTTCGGAATAGTAAGTGCACCGAGCCTGTGGAAACAGCATGGGAAGGAATCTTCACTCTTGCAGAACTCTTTGAGTACTCTTGCAAGCAGCACCAAGACAGACGTTTACTCGGAACCCGGAAATTGATTTCAAAAGAAACTGAAATAACTGCCGATGGAAGATCCTTTGAGAAGTTTCATTTGGGTGATTACGAGTGGCTAACTTATGGTCAAACATTTGAAGCTGTGTGCAGCTTTGCTTCTGGTCTAGTGCAAATTGGGCATAATAAAGGAGAACGTGCAGCAATCTTTGCTGACACAAGAGAAGAATGGTTTATTGCCTTGCAGGTGTTTCTCTTTCGTGTCTTGTTTGTTGTATCTTGCATGGAATAAGTTCTGATATTTTATTCTACATTAATTTATAAATATTTACTAAGAGTTTGTGAGGTTAATTTTCTAGCAACATTTAGCTTCTTTTTTTCTTTTATTGCAGTTATATAATATGTCTTGTGTGTTTTCTTGTTCCAGGGATGCTTTAGGCGCAATATCACTGTCGTAACTATCTATGCATCTTTAGGGGAAGAGGCATTATGTCACTCGTTGAATGAGGTTCTCTCGATCCTCTCTCCCTCTCTCTCTCTCTCTCTCTCTCTCTCTCTCTCTCTCTCTTTTGCAAGCATTCACAGATGTTTTGCGCAAATGTTAAATGAAGCTACATTTTTTATTCTCCACATTCATTGTACAACCATTATTAATTTTTTCTTAAACTGGATCAGGAAACCAGCCTTGTGCTTATGAAAAATATGTTTTTGCTCTCAAATTCTGCCCTCTATCTCTCCATATTCAATCTGTTTTGTTGGTTATCCCCCTGCAAATTCCTGAAATTAAAATATCTTAACCCTTTTGATTATTTATACATGATGTGTGATCGTATTAGTCGTTTTCATCTCCAGACAGAAGTCACGACTGTGATATGTGGCCAGAAAGAGTTGAATAAACTGTTAGGTATCAGTGGACAGCTTAAGACAGTGAGAAATGTGGTATGTATGGATGAGATTCCTCAAAGCGTTATAAATTCTGAGCAGAACGGAGACTGGAAAATTACCTCATTTGCTAAAGTTCAAATGCTTGGCCAAGAAACTAACATGGGAGCTGAGTTACCCATCTCAGCTGATATTGCAGTTATAATGTATACAAGCGGAAGCACTGGATTGCCCAAGGTGGGAAACATCTATGTTTGTACGTAGGCACTTATGTACACACACATATATATACATTTGCACACACATACATACGTACCACATACTCGAGTTTCATTTCTTTTTACCCTTCTGCTTAATTTATTTTTTAAGCTTTATGACTGCATTTAAAGTTCTTAATATTATGTTATTGTATCATATTTCCTACGCTTCTGCAATGAGTATTCTCTCTCTACTTGGGAAACTTGAGAGCTCTGTATATCTTGGAATGTTATCTTTGTTAAGATACACAATGATTCTCCTTAACTTACTGATACCTTGAGGTTCTGTAGAGCTTGATTTCTTTTCCACTGCGTCCCTTTGTTATTTTCTGCCACTTGTTTGTAGTGGACATTGTTCTGCAACTTGTTTGTAGTTGACATTGTTCTGCAACTTCTGCTAATAATTTATTGATAATGGCCGTGTGTACAGGGTGTGATGATGACACATGCAAATGTATTGGCTACAGTTTCTGCTGTCATGACTATAGTTCCTGGTCTCGGGAAGAAGGATACATATCTCGCATACTTACCCATGGCTCATATCCTTGAGTTAGCAGCAGAGGTTTGTATTCTTCGAATTTCATATGTTCGGTAGCTTTATGTTACTCTTTTACTGTTTAGTAGAATTCAAATTATTTTTCACTTTTGCTGTTTTATGACTAAATCTTATATGTTATTTTCGTTTCCTAGAATGTAATGGCTGGTGTTGGATGTGCTATTGGTTATGGGTCTCCTTTGACACTTACCGATACATCTAACAAGATTAAGCGTGGGACAAAGGGCGATGCAACTGCTCTTGTGCCAACAGTGATGACGGCTGTCCCAGCAATTTTAGATCGTGTTCGAGAAGGGGTTCTTAAAAAGGTTTGTCAATGTTGCATGCACATTTTTGTTCATATGTCATTTATCTGAACACTCATGCTTTGCGATCCGTTGATTTGGTGGTTATAATGATGAGTCTTCTGATTTCAGGTGAACGGGACAGGTGGATTAGCAAAGAAATTGTTTGATTTGGCATATTCTCGTAGGTTATCTGCCATGAATGGTAGTTGGTTCGGGGCTTGGGGTCTGGAAAAGCTTTTATGGAACTTTCTTGTGTTTAGAAAGGTTCAGGCAATTCTTGGAGGTCGCCTTCGTTTTCTGTTGTCTGGAGGGGCGCCCCTTTCTGGTGATACCCAAAGATTCATCAACATTTGTCTCAAGTATGTATGTCATGCAAATCTGATGAATACCATAGGCTTTTACTGTTAGAGTTCACTTGTCTTACAGACAATTGTCCAAGAACAAATGAAACTTTACTGCTGGATTTCTAAATTTCAGATGCCTATGGACTATTTGATATCAAATCTGGATACAAATTACACAAGAGATACCGAATAATGTGCTTGTCTTGATGCATATAGGGTTTTAAACCGTTTTGATGAGGTTTTAGCCTAGTGTATATTTTTCACTGGCATTTTATTTTGTTGATTCCATTATATATGCGGCATAAACCATCCATGACTATTGATAATAAATAAATGCTAATGAATGCTACACTTGACGGATATAATTTAGCGGTGGACAAAGATACTACAGTCCTACAACCAATAATAGATATTAAAACTACGTTCACGGTCCATCATTTTACCATACATGCATGTGTGCTTGCAGTTATCATCTTGCATATGTATCTCATGGTATCCTATTTTCAGTGCTCCAATAGGGCAGGGTTATGGTCTTACTGAGACTTGTGCTGGTGGAACATTCTCTGAGTTTGATGACTTGACCGTTGGTCGAGTAGGAGCTCCACTTCCTTGCTCGTTTGTTAAGGTATCTATGCATTATCAGTATACAAGTGCTCCAGATTACTTATAAGTATGCTGTGCATCTATAATATTAACATCCGAGATTTGAAAAAAAAAAAAAGAAAAAAAAAAGGTCCGTCATTTTCAACAGAAATTGCACAAAACCAAGAATGCCCAAGGAAAAAAGTTTACTGCTGTATTTTTCATCAAATACACTGGCCTGATTGTATTACGTCCAGAACTGGAGACTTAGAAAAAGTGATCAAACAATATACCAAACCTTGAAATAGAGCTTGCTGGCATTGAGTTTACTGAGTAAAGCAAGGGCCACTGCTCTTAGTCTTTGCGCCTAATTTTCTCTATCCATGACATTTCTGTTGGATGCTTTTTAGTGTGATCATCGCATTTGTTCTCCGGTGGTCAACCTTAAGGAATTTTGTTTTACTTTCTCAGTTGATTGATTGGCCAGAAGGTGGTTACTTAAGTAGTGATTTGCCAAGGCCACGGGGAGAAATTGTAATTGGTGGTCCAAATGTAACACTTGGATATTTCAAAAATGAAGAAAAGACTAGCGAATCATACAAGGTAAAGTCTCCTTGTTGCTGGTGTTGATACCTGCAGCATGCTTTCCACAAATTTGCTATTGATGCAATCTATATTTGTTGCAAAGGTCGATGAGAGGGGAATGCGGTGGTTCTACACTGGTGACATAGGGCAATTTCATGCTGATGGTTGCCTTGAAATTATTGACCGTAAGAAGGATATAGTCAAACTTCAACATGGAGAATATGTTTCCTTGGGAAAGGTATGACATGCAAATTACATCTTTTTACTTTTTATATCAATTTCTTTGTTTCCTAAGTAATGTTTCCACAGGTTGAAGCCGCACTCAGCGTTAGCCCGTATGTTGACAACATAATGCTGCACGCGGATCCCTTCCATAGCTTCTGTGTGGCTCTTGTTGTAGCCTCTCAGCATGCTGTAGAAGAATGGGCTTCTAAGCAAGGAATCAATACAAGTGATTTCGCTGAACTCTGTACTAAAGAAGAAGTAGTGAAGGAAGTGCAAGCATCACTCATAAAGGTATCTGTATTCTGACTTGGATTTCATGTTTGCATCTAATCTCATCTCTAGGCCCCTTGTGCTTACCACAAGAGCCCTTGGTTGTTCATCTATTTTAACTCCTCCCTAGGATGTACACATCCCTGCCCCCATTTAACTTTCCATCCTTGCAAAATATCGTCTAATTTTGTAGGGATCGGGTCAGAAATTTCTTGTGGAAAATTATTCTTCGTTTACTATTATTTTATTAATCGTGATTAAATAAAATAATTTTTTTTTTGGAAATTTCCTATTTGAATGGTTATTCTCAAGGGAAATTCCCATTTAAAGAGAAAACTTCTTGAAACAAATATTCCATGGAAGTTTACATTTCGGGTTTCTTTTTATGTATATTCCCCATGAAGAAAAGAATGCAAGGCAATTTAATATTAGTATAAATAGCAAAGTTTGTTTGGTATTCGTTGATGAAACTAAAAGAAAGGGACATGGTGTAAATTGTTCATGTTTTTATACTTGTTACCAGGAAGCAAAGAAGGCACGATTAGAGAAGTTTGAGATCCCTGCAAAGATCAAATTGCTATCTAACCCATGGACTCCAGAATCTGGGCTAGTTACTGCAGCTCTCAAGCTTAAAAGAGAAATAATTAGGAAGGAATTCTCAGAAGACCTCAAAAAATTATATGCCTGATGAAGTTGTGCACAACTTGGACATGGAGAAACTATCCTTGGAATTAGGTTGGTTGTCCAGGATTCATTCTCTCCATTTATTATTCACTACGTTTCCCTAGGTTGTCTTGTGATTCTGGTTTGCTTTTATTAAACATTTTTCTAGATCGTCTTCAACTATATTCACGAATACTGGAATTTGACCGACTCTTAATAAGAAATGAGAAAGGCATCATCAGTTTTGTTTCTGTAGTGTTGTATTTGATGTGATTTATGTGATTAAATATGTATGAATCTTGTTTGATGATATGTAAAAGATCTTATTCATTTAGTCCAGTTTCATTTCACAATCAAATCGAAACTCAACTTGTATCTGTTCTGAACTTCTAATTAATTTGTCCTTCAAAAGTGTGTCATCTTTCAAGATTGAGTCTAGCTTTTAAAAAGCCTTTTAGATTTTTAATTTTATGTTTATTAGTTCCTTAAGATTTTCAATTTTGTATCAAATAAGTTAATGATTTCTTTTTTCCGTGCCTACTAAATACAATTAAGAAGGTGAGGTCTTATATCTAATGGAGTCAGTCTTATATAAGTTTTGAATATGAAATTTCAAAGTTCAAATAACTATTATAGACACGTTTTAAAACTTAGAAATCAAATAAATACAAACTAGAGAATTTGAAGACTAAATTTGTTACTTCGATAAAGCCACATTAAACAATGCTTTGTTGCAAAACGAAAAACAAACCAAAAACATCAGTAGCTTCGAAACAACTCCCTCGTATAAATCATCCTTTAGTTGGCAGGAACAATAGCTGTGAATCCTTTCCATTACACTTGCTTCCATTTCAGACCCAATTCTTATTCACAAGTAAATAGCACACTCGGAGGAGGACCCATTCAGTAAAGCCTTGTCCCGTTGTTTAAATAACTGAAGGGTCAAATTCGTGTGAAGATGAGGGTTGTAAGGCACGGATTTTAACTTCATATTTCGTACACCTATTGACTTCACTGGGCAAAGATGAATCTGATCCATCTGAAACAAGTGGGGTGGAGAAAGTGTGGCTTGTGTTAGCATTTCCAATATGGTTTCCACACTTTCGACATAGTAGCTTGATTCTTCGACGAAATAGGCCCCACGAGTGCTTCGAGAAATGAGGCACACACTGAAGTTCATCAACCTGAGTAAATCTGCTATCGTCGACATTTAGAAACGATATGATCCCTCGCTTTATCGACTTACCATACTTAGAGCCGATGGTCGATGTATTGCGGTTAGAAGAGCTCAAGTTCAGTTCATATCCACAAGCACCACAGCTGCATGAAGTAAACCATAGTCATTATAAGTCAGGAAATGCAAATAATACACAGAGAGGTAGCTTAGTTGGTAAGAATCCTGGGATAGCCATGGGATTGGTATTAGGATTCCCACTTTAGTTTAGCTTCCAAATATGATTGGCCAGTGGCAATTTAGGCGCCAACTAAGAAAAATAAGGATTTGGAGGATTCCCAATTAGATTTATCAACTTTATCTTCCCTAGAAACAGGCCTTGTTTATTATAAGGTGTCATGAAATGAGAGGATCATGACTAATTCATTTGTTGTCTGGATCAGTCTAGGGCGTTTTTAAGAAGTTATAAGAAGGATTCTAGGCACATTATCTCAATGAAAGTATATAACCCTTTTCTTTGGTTCGTCTTCTTGGGACATCCTCTGAGTCGGGATCACAAATCGCATATACGTCTTCAAAAGTCCTCCCCACTAGAAAGAGCAACCGAAAGTAGATTTTTAGGTTTGATATTGTCAAGATTGTATTAACCCCTAATCTAAAAAAAAAAAAAGAAAATCATATTAGTTAAATTCTTTCGTAAAAGCACCATTGGGTAGTTGTTCCTCTTGTTCTCTTTGTGGAACGTGGGAATTGGGTTTAGGTTCGATACTATCGAGATTGTATTAACCCCTAATCTACATAAAGGTCATACTAGTCAAACTCTTTCATAAAAGCACGCTTAGCTACCAGAGAAAGTAGAAGGAAGAATTTAAACATGAAAAAGAAGGAACTGCAATATACAATCCAAACCAACCACATGGCAGAGTGATATTATTACGGATGGAAGTTTACAGGTAGGTCAAGCCTCAAGCTCAATCAATAACCCCACATCACATCTCAATATTAAACTGTGTTCCTTTATAATTGGTTTAAATAAATTCATCAAATTCGAAGAACACTAGCCTTCTCCATCATGCTTATAACTACAGGAATTTCCAAAACAGGTCAGGCCAATCAGTGCGCTGCTTCTGCACTGTTACAGCTATTGATACTCTTCTCCAATTCCAATTTAAACGTAGAAACCCCATATATAACTTCACTGTTTCCTTAAATCTTTCGAATTCCCCTCGACTACTATCCTATGGAACCTAATTCAATAAATTTTACACCCAAATCAGTCGGATCATATCGTATCAAAGAGCTATCACAACTTCCGAAATACCAATCAGTTCGAAATCGATTAAATTAAGGTAAAAACCAAGAAATCGGGGAATTTCACTCACCCCTCCGATCAGAACAAAAAAAAAGTAATTCAGAGACCAGTAGAGAAGAAACAGATATTTGTAAAACTAAATAACTATACAGTAAGCGATATAAGCCAGAGATTAAATTGAACCTGTAATAAACATCTCGGCGAGACGAAGAAGAGTAGAGAGAGGTCGACGAAAAGGACTGTACGTGGTGAGTTCCGTCGGTGTAATCGCCTCCGAAATCCGGCGACTGCGTCATTCCTCCGGTTCAGAATACGACACTGACTCCGACGCCGGCTGCAACGGTCGACGGAGATTTCGAGGTGGTAAACGACGAATCGCGGTTACAAAAAACAATAATGAACAAGTTCGGAGTTAATCTTAGCGAACTCGAAACAATAACAGAAGATATGACCTAAGAGAAAAATCGCAGTTTCTAAGAGACGAAGTGTGGTGAATTGGAAGAACAACCGCTGCTTGAAGAACAGAAATTGAAGAAATATATGGAAACAAAAATAATAATAATAAGGGAAAATTATGGTTTTTTATATTAAAAAAAAAAAAAGATTAGATTGAGACCTTTCACGTTGAATTAAATTTTCTAAAAAAAAAAGGAAATTATTATGTGGGGGTAATATTAATTAATTGGTATATTTCTATTTCCAAATCTTTTTTTTTTAATTACAAAAATTACAAATTTTCTTTAAAAGCTACAAATATTACAATTTTTTTCATAAATATAACCTAATATTTTTCATAATTATTAAATCATCAAAATTAAGATTTTATATTAATTAAATTACATCGATGATAATTAATATCTTAATTTATTTATTTTTTAATTCAAGAGATATTTATTAGTCCATGTGGCATGGTCAATCCTTGATTAATCTATTGCTGACATGGAATTATTGTAATTTTCTTAAAACGATAAAATTACAATATATTTAACATAATCATGTTATTTATAATTTTGAGCATATTTTGGTTTAAATAATAATGCAAATATTTTTATTTTATAATATGGATTTTTTTTTATTATTTTTTATTTCCTCCCTCTATTAAATCGTACCGACATTGCCTGTAAATTAGCCGACACGCTAACGGTCTCCAGTTTGACTCGGCATCTATTTTTTCTTTTTATTTATTTGTTTTAAATTATATATCTGAAAATTATTACCAAACGCGCCGTGTCCTTTTCAACAAAAAAAAAATAAATAAATAAAAATGCCACATATTTCTTTTGTGAAAAAAAATAAAAATAAAAATACTTGCAACTCATGGAAAATCACACACCATTTAATCCAACGTGGCTAAACATTCCACTTCAGGAAATTCATTAATAATTTAACCAATTTAACTATATTTGTGTTGATAATTTATGGCTTGGTCGAACTCAATTTTGAGGGCAAAAATTGATTTTATTAAAATTATAGAGTTTATAAATATTTTATATGAATATTTAATGATAGTGAAAATTGATAAGTTATGAATTAAATTGGCATTTTATAAAAATATTTTAATAATAAACTGCACAGTTCATATCTCAAAGCAGGTTCTATGGTGTAGTGGTTAGCACTCTGGACTTTGAATCCAGCGACCTGGGTTCGACTCCCGGTAGGACCTATTTTTTCTTTATATTTTCATTTTCATTTTTTAAGGCAAATAAATAATCCATTTATCTTCTCTGTTCTTTTTCTCCACCGGGGGAAATTATCTTTATTATATTTCCAAAGAAGGTAAATCATTATTTAACAAAAATGTTTAAAATATATAAATACGCTATATTAATAAAAATAATATTAAATTTTGTAATTTTTTTAAAAAATGTTTATGAATTTTTAAAAAAATTTAAAAATAAAAAAGAAATAAGAGACAAAATCGTTATTATTATGTTTAAAAAAAAATACTCATTAACCAAAATTATTTATGAGAAATGATTTATTTTTTTAATTAAGAATATTATTTCAAATAATAAAATGTAAAAATACATGGCTTTAATGTGACATTCTTCTAAACATATTAAGTTAATTATAAAGGTTTAAAATATTTAAGAAAATGCATTTTTTCATAAATTCTTTATTAATTCTTTATTTTTAAAATAAATGAATATAAATATATACACGTATTCTTTTAAAATATTCCATAAAACTCCCTGGATAAAACGCAAACCAGAATCCCACAGCCCAAGTCCCAAGGTTCCCGTGGCTACACTTACGGTAAATACGGATAAAAGGAGGGGTATTATGGTACTTTCAGTTGATTCATCGACTGCTCTCCTCTTACTCTACTCGCCTTCTCCAGCTTATATTTCCCGAATCACCGGCTTTGCTATATCTTCATCTAGAGAAGAACAAAAAGAAGCCCTAGAAAAGCTTGCCGGAGCGTTGAGAACCGGGATCGGATTCCGAAGCTAATATCGGTTGTTAATCCAATGGCTACTACTTTTAGCGGTGATGAAACTGCTCCGTTCTTCGGCTTCCTTGGGGCCGCTGCAGCTCTTGTTTTCTCCTGTAAATTTCGCATCTCTCTCTTCTTTTACTTTCCATTTTTATATTTGCGATGCGGCATGGATCGATTAGATTAGTTCTAAGGGTGTAATTCCAGTTTTTCCGCTGATTGAATTTGATTTAAGATGGGAATTCAATTGGGATAATGAAGTTTGAGGCTCAGTTGACGGGGATGAATCTTTTGTGATTGGCCAATTTGGAGATTTTTTTTTTTTTTTTTCGTTTCTTCGATTTAAATGGCGTGAATCTATTTTCCTGTTCTACTTTTAGAAATTGGGTTAATTTGCAATGAGATGATATGGGGAGATTTGGTCGATCCTGTGGCCGATCGGACTGGATCCTATACTGTTTTATTCTCGTTTTTCATTCCATTTCCCGTTTCTATCATTGGGTTAGATATGCTAAACTTCCGACTGCAAAGATGTGTTTTATTTTTCCTCTTTTTATTTATTTAATTTGTTTGATCTTGCTAATAAGTGATTCTGACAAAAAAAAAAAAAAAAAAATCACTCCTGGAAACTCCGATCCAATTTAGAGCCAGTGTTTCTTTATCTCTGAGAGAAATAGCCTGAGAATCTGGATTGCTCGCCCTCTCGAAGATGGTCCAAAGGTTTTTGCCTTTTTGGTAAAATTGGTTCATACTTCTTCTTATGCCTTTTGTATTATGTATTCCATCGCAACATATAAGGATCTGTTGTGCGTGTGTGTGTGTGTGTGTGTTTTCCCACCAAAGTAATGCATAACCATGTTGACCTATCTTTTCCTAACTGGAGCACCCAACTATCCAGATGAAGTCGTAGTATAAAGAAACTGGCGCTTATACTTTCCTTTTTACAGGCATGGGTGCTGCTTATGGGACTGCAAAGAGTGGAGTTGGAGTGGCCTCCATGGGAGTTATGAGGCCCGAGCTGGTCATGAAATCTATTGTTCCTGTTGTCATGGCAGGAGTGTTGGGTATTTATGGGTTGATCATCGCTGTTATTATTAGTACTGGAATAAACCCAAAAGCAAAGTCATACTATTTGTTTGATGGGTATGCTCATCTTTCTTCTGGACTTGCTTGTGGTCTTGCTGGTCTCTCTGCAGGAATGGCAATTGGGATTGTTGGCGACGCCGGTGTTCGGTAATATTTATACTCTCTATAACCCTTTTGGCTGTTAATTACCCTGAATGGCTATGTTTCTGAGTTCTGAATTTGATAAACGCTACAACTTTGCAAAGTTGCAAATGTTTTTAAGGTGGATAATTATTGCATCTATTGTTCGAATTCGTTATGCTTTGGCATCAAATGTGTTAGAAGGTTAGAATTTGAGAATAGTAACTTGAACTAGAATTTTGGGACTTGGTATTGATGGTGGCTTATACTGTTCCGGATCTTAAAGTTTGAAATCCGAGCTGCAAAATTTTTCCCATCCTTTAGTGTTAGTGTTTGTTTCTTCTTTCATTCATCTGTACTTTTTGTCTTCTAGCATTGGATAATGATAGCAAGATGCTGCATGATTTACAGATCATTTTCTGTTCTCTTTCTGGTTCATTACATAGTTATACAAATCATATTCTAGCTCCTCCCTCACATGTTTTATCGGCTTCTGTACTTGATGCACTCAGGGCCAATGCACAACAACCTAAGCTCTTTGTTGGAATGATTCTCATCCTCATCTTTGCTGAAGCTCTTGCCCTCTACGGTCTTATTGTTGGTATCATTCTCTCTTCTCGGGCGGGTCAATCTCGTGCGGATTGAACGACGAACGACGCCAAGTTCATCCTTCATCTTTGAATTTGTTATCCAAATGTTTTAAGGAGATTTTGTTACTATGTTTCTTCTGTTCATGTCAAACCTGAACCTATGTATTTTATTGAGTGATGGTAATGAGCAGGTTTTATGACAAACCTCCATGCTCATCTCCTCATTTGTGTGATATTCTTTCTAGTTTTAGTCAGTACCATTTGAGTTGTGGACTGATTCTATGTGCTCGTTACCTTACGATGCAGATTCCGTTGAGAATAAAAATTCATTACAATGTTGGATGAAAAGCCAACGTTAAGAAGTCACTATTGCAACGAATATAAAAGATATATGACTCCATTGTAAATTTCGAAAGAACTTATTTTCAAATATGGTGTTTTAGATATGGACTCATTTTAAAATTTCTCGAAATCTTGACCGTAAGATCATCAATGGATGTCTTCTTTTTAGTCACTCGTCATTTTTGTTGTGTTTTAAACTAATGATCGATCTAACGATTCGAAATAAAATAGATTGTTGTTGTAAGTAATTCTCAAAACTTGAGTCTAACAACTCATCGCAAAGTTGATCATTCATACCTTTCAACTCATAGATATAGATTTTGGGCTCATTGTTTCATTTTAGACCGAAATCATTAATACTTTAAAATTTTTAAAATGGTAAGAAAACTATTTAAAATTTTATTTTTTTTTAGACAAAATACTAAATAAAATAAAAAAAATAGATATTTAATGTTATTAATGAGCTGCGTACGTGTTGCAAACCAATGCAACGGTATCAAAAAAAATGTTCCCTTTTTAAGAATCTTCCAAAAATACATTATTAAAATAATAATAATAATAAATCCGAATCTGGGGCTCAAAGCACCGACATTGTTGGCGTCCCTGTAATAACAATTTGTACTGTCAATTAGTTAAATTTTTATAATATTTAAATTAAAAATTAGCTTTTTTTTAATGGTTAAAAGACGATTCTGTAATATTAATATTTAAGTTTTTAATAAAAAATATATATATTATTATTATTATTTAACTAAATTTAATAATAAACGGTAGAGATTAATTTTAAAATTTATTAAAACTACACAAACTAAATATTAAAGTCTAAACAAAGAACATACCAAATTCAATAAATATTATATAAATAAAAATGAAAAAAAAAAGGTTTTATTATTATTATTATTATTATTATTTGAAAGACTTGTTTTAATTGTGCTAACTTAACGCATACATTTTTCAATCACATTACATTATTAAAATAATAATAAATAAATAAATATATAAAAAGCTATTTTGCTTCCTAAGAAATTGACCAAAAAATTGCATTCCCTCTAATTTCATGGCATATTCTCAGATCTGGCCCACCTCCCCTCAAAAAAATTAATTAATTAATTAAATTTTAATTTCATAATATAACATTAAAATATACATTATTCACATAAATTAAAAATTTTACCGATTAAAATACATTATTAGTGCTTACGTAAATTAAATATGTCTAAAGTACCATTTGAAATGGGAGTAATAATAAAATAATAATAATAATTGACACTCCCACCTCTCATTTGCACCCGTTTGAAGAAACTAGGAATTATGAACAAATTATATTTAAGAATAATAAATGCAATTTAATTTTAAATTTTAGTTCAACCAAATTTAGGGTTTATCTTGAAACTAACGCATGTATTTAATTTAATTTAATTTAATTTAATTTAATTTAATTTAAAACCCACTCCAATTGGCTAATAATGTTGCATTAATTTCCCTGTTACCATCAAATAAACTCCACTTGTATAATTAATATTCCCTAAACTACCTAACGCTTGCATTAACTATAAACATTATATATATATATATATATATATCATTTATTTAATTTAATTTAATTTATAAAATTTCAAATTAATTATTTTTTTTAAGTTAATAAATAAAATATTAAAATGGGAAAAATAAGGTGCAGCCATTACTAGTGAAACCGGTCCCATAATGTAATTAATTAATTTATCAGATTCCGGCGTTACCAGTGCCAGCGCATCCGTAATGTTTCAAAAAGAAAAACAAATTAAAAGGAGAAAATAAAAAGAAGCAAATTATTATTATTTTGAAAAGAGAAAAAAAAAAGTCATCCAACGACTGAGAGATGGGTCAACGTTCTGTAATCGGTCAAGAACAATAATCGAACGGGTGAGATTATCTGACGTGGTGAAGCCGCTTACGTAAAGGACACGTGGCGAGTGGGATCCACAATCCCCCATGGCTTTTGGGGCGGGCTTTTGAGATGAGATGAGAAGAGAAGAGAAGACGAAGACCCTGTGTTTGTTTTGGGGAAAATAAAAAGGCCGAAGAGAAGCCATGGACAGCGCCAAATTCCAATTCTCAAGTTCACAATTTCTCGATCAATCGCCATAGCCATGGCTTTGAAATGAAAGAGAGCTCGAGCTATGAGCTCGACAAAGTGAAGCGTTTTTCGGATTTGAATTAGAGAGAGAAAGAGGAGTGCGATCCTCGGCGGAAGCATGCTTATTGCGTTTTTGGGCGCAAATTCATCCGTTTCTTATACTCTAACTTCTAGCTGCTAAACCAATTTTTTCAGGCTGCTGAATTGAGTGGTTTCGAATTTGGAAATTCAGGTGGAGTTTTCTCTAATTGAGAGAATTTCGGTGTAATTGGGAGTTTGCGCTGGGTGATCTGGGGTCTGAGGCGAGAGCGAGAGAGATAGAGAGATGGAGGAGGCTTGGTTGTGTCAGTGGAGCACCATTAGATCTCTCGTTGCAATTCTTCAATGGTGGGGTTTCAATGTTACCGTCATTATCATGAACAAGTGGATCTTTCAGGTCTGTGCTGAATTTCGCTATTTCTTCCTTTTCTTCCATTTCTTCACTTTTTGTTTCTAGATTGATTATTCGTTAGATGTTTACGTTGGTTCTGAATTGATCTGTTATTTGTTTTCTGCAGAAATTGGATTTTAAATTTCCTCTAACAGTGTCTTGTATTCACTTCATCTGCTCTGCGATTGGAGCGTATATCGCGATTAAAGTGTTGAAGGTTAAGCCGCTCATTTCTGTTGACCCTGAAGATCGGTGGAGACGGATATTCCCCATGTCGTTTGTGTTTTGTATTAACATAGTTTTGGGGAATGTGAGCTTGCGTTATATTCCGGTTTCTTTTATGCAGACAATAAAGTCCTTCACTCCTGCAACCACTGGTGCGGTTTTGAATTCAAATTGCTTCCTGATTATATGTTGTTTGTCATTGTTCTTAGTTTTTCATTTCGAGATTTTCAATTTTAAATTGTGGGGTTAATTTTTTCAATTCAATTCGTTCCACCAGTTGTCTTGCAATGGCTCGTATGGAGAAAGTACTTTGACTGGAGAATATGGGCATCTCTGATACCTATTGTTGGAGGAATTCTTCTTACTTCTGTGACTGAGATGAGCTTTAATATGCTTGGATTTTGTGCTGCCTTATTTGGCTGTTTAGCTACCTCCACAAAGACCATTCTTGCAGAATCCTTATTACATGGATACAAGTTTGACAGGTACAGCCTTTATGCGCGGTTAATTCTTTTGGATTCAGTGTTTCTTTTTGAACCAAGTTTCATCCTGATTTCCTGCTTGTCGCATTTTTTTTTCTGGGTTTAGATTGATCCTTGAATTATAGAGTGTTATTGCTTGAAAACCCCACATTATAGTTAACTTTAATGTATAGATCTTTGATGTGTTCGTTATCGTTTATGAAAACCTTTTCGATTTTGAAACCGAGTCTCAATCAAAATGGAGGCTCTACTTTTAGGAGGAAGAAAGTGACAAGCCGAGCACTGCATCTGCCTAGCTCAATTGTTGGGGTAACTTGTGCAGATATTGGAAGCAGTAGCTTGGTATTTGTTATTCATATCATAGATACAAAACAGCCGAATCTCATCTAGGCCGCCCTCGGTTATCTTATAAACATATGTCAAATATAAATTAAAACCTGCAAAGACTTCCAAATAAGACATATTCATATGCATGAAGCCGTCGCTAGTTTTTGTTGGATGAATTGGAAAATAACTTCATGGTGTTTTCTAGACTACATTGAATTAGTAGCACAGTTCCAGCGAGGTAAATTTCATTCATGTACTTTCTTCATTAATCTTCAGTTTTTACCACTTTTTTTCATCTAGCTGTCTTTCTCTCTCTGTTTTTTTTTTTTTTTTTTTTTTTTTTTTTTTTTTTTTTTTTTTTTTTTTTTTTTTTTTTTTTTTTTTTTTTTTTTTTT